AAGCTTTTGTTCTTCTGTCTCCATCAGTCTTAACATGTTGTATCTTATTGGATTTTATTATATGTGATAATATAAACAAAAACTTTTATAGACAAGGAGATTATACAGAAACCATTGTTCATTTTCTGTTAGTTGATTCTAAATACCCTGTAATACTGTCATTCTCTTGAATGGTTTTACATTGTCTTGATATGTTTGATGCTACAGTATACGAAGTTATACTCAAAGATTTCAAAGAAAGAGATACGATGGTAAGTACTTTTATGTCGGGATATCTTGTGGTGAAACACTATTTTGCTTAAATGATTTTGTTTTGACCTGTGCTGTTTTGTTGTTAAGTCCTCTTTTATCTGAATCTCCTTTTTTTTATTATTTACTTTTTTATTTTTATCTTTTTAATTAAGGGAAAAATAAAAACAGCAGGATATATTATAGTAACCCACTTTGATTTCCTATTAACTTGATTTGAAATCCTGTATTGCTCTCACCATCTTGTTTTGACTGATTTTCCTCTATTCTGTTTTGCTTGATAGTACCAAGTTCGAAAATATAGGCAACAATGGTGAAGACAATAAGATTCATTATGACGCCCATTTTAGTTGACTATTATCTTCTTTTGAAGTCCTGTAATGTCTCCAATGTTTTGGTTTTATTGGTCTTGTTCTTTACTGTTTTGCTCAGTTTTATTATAACTGATGATATAGGCAATTCTTTTTTAAGATAGCAAGAGGCATTATGGTAACCACTGTTGATCACCTTGTATTTTGTTTTTACATTATGTATTATGTCCATCCTTTTGATTTGACTGACTCTGTTTTGTTATGTCACATTTGGTTTCATTCTCTTCAAAAAAAGTAATAAGAACTATGGGAGTAATAAAACCCAAAATGTGTAATTGTCATTGTACAAAAGAGAGGAAAAGAAAGTGCTCTAAACGATATAACTGCATGTATATTTAAGTGTGTAAGATAGAAAACCATATTACTGAGTTTTGTTGGATCATTGAACAGAAATGTTTGCAGTCTCACTGTTTGAATGTTCACTCTATATGCTTTAATTTTGTAACTTAAACAACTATTTTTAAGATGACAATATGTAATCTATTAACTAGTGATTTCCTACTGTTTATTTTTTCTGAAATTCTGTATAACTTGTATCCTTTTTCTGTTGTTTTTTCTTTTTCTCCTTAAATAAAATTTTAAAAAAGAAAAGAAAACAGGGCAGCCGCCCACATGTCTGTGTTCCTGAATGCCTGAGAGATGTGGCTCCCGAGGCTTCCCACTGCAGGTCCAAGCCCGGCCACCCACTCTCTGGGTTTCAGAGGGAGATGATGGCGCACCCAGGGACCTCGGATCTGTGCAGAGGAGAAGGAGGAAGTCAGTTCACAGCTGAAGCACCTGGCTATGAGGAGGATGGTAATGTGAGCTGAAGTGTTTGGCGCCACAGCTCTGAGCTCTGTGCTTTATCATTTCCTGGCCCTGTGACTGGGCTGAGGGGACCCCTTCCCTGAGTCTCAGTTTATTTATAAAAATAGAAATAATAATCGAACCTCCTTCCAGTGTGCTTTGTCCTTTTTATCAGCCCAGAACCATTTCCCAGATGACAATAATGCAAGGTGCCCAGGAAAAAGGCTTTGCTCCTGATAGAGATGAGGTTAGGTAGAAGCCCTGTAGTTTAAAGATTCAGACGTCAGCCTGACCTAAGTTCAAGATCTGTTCTGATGCCTTCCTTGCTGTGTGATCTTGACAAGTTACTTAACCCCTCTGAGCCTCAACTAACCATACTAACAATACCTACCTCAAAGACGATTGAAAGATAAAAGACCTCCCAGGGAGCAAAGTATCACCCAATGCAAAAAGTCCAGCTCCACTGTTCATTGACTGTGCAACTTCAGCAAGTTGCTTAATCTCTCTGAGCTTCAACTTTCTCTTCTATAAAATGGGTCAATCAGTAAATGAACAGCATCCTGCCGGACAGTTGGGAAGACTAAAGGAGGTCGTAGGTACAGACAGTGCTTGACTCATGATAGACCCTCACACTATCTAAGTGTGAAAATGCTCTGTTATTCAGATATAATCCACTTTTTAATGCAGCCAAGATGAATATGATTAATATTCAAATCTTAATGGAGATCTGTTACAGGGGAGTTGTGAGCAAAATGATTTGCTAAAGGCTGCACTCCCTGGGCCTCAGATTGTGGGTTTACCTACACACAGGACAGTGACAGAGGCACTGAAGGCGAAATGGTGTCATTAGGGTGGCCCGAATCCAAACCAGCTAGAGAGCCTGAAAAAGGGCGCAGCCTGGACACAGACATCGGGAAGAGGCCAGCGGGCACAGCAGGGATGCCAGGGACAGCCCAGCCGGAGCCAGAAGGGGGAACTTCCCCACCCCGGGGTCCCAGACGGCACTGGGTTCCCGTCCTGGTCCTGAAGCACCGCGCACAGCAGCAGCAGTGAGGCAGCCAGCTGCTCGGGGGCCGGCTCTGCAGCAGCTGCGGGGAGCTGGAGCCACCCAGGGCAGGGGAGAGGATGCGGGCCGGGGCTGCGCAGGAGCAGGTGGTCTCGGGGAAGGGAAGGCCTGCGCTGAATGAAGGGGAGATGTGCACCTCCACAGGCAGGTGTTGGTGCCTGACGTGGTGGCGGTAGAGAAAGGTGAGGAAGGCAGCGAGTAGGCAGGACAACAGGACAGCAGGACGGTGGGACAGCACAGCTGTGGCTCACAGGCTGCACGCAGCTCGCCCCCCTCCACCGCACTCAGCAGGCCCAGCACCCAGCCCTGCCACGCCGACAGCCCGGCCCTGGAACGCCCCGCAGAACCACAGGGAAGTGCCACACACCTAAATACCACTCGTGAACACAAAGGGGTACTTGGCCTGGCAGGCTGGCACTAGATATTGGCCCCCGAGGGTAGCAGAAGACACGCACTGCCTCATCTACCAGCGTGTTGGCACCCTGTGGCACAGATGCACTGCTGGGCCCCGCAAGCCAGACCCGACATTGAGGGGCAGCTGGCAGTAGGTATGAGGAGAGCCTTTGCCCTTGCCTGGCAGCACCGGGGGAGGCGACCTCTGCCACCTACTGGTAGGGTCAGTGCTGGGATGCCCAGGGCTGGAGGGCCTGGTTGGCTGAGTGGGTGTAGGGTGTTGTGTGGAGCGCTTGGAAGCCAGGCTTTGGAGTTTTCTTCCCTTCTTCAAACTCTCCTAGCTCGAGGAGGGGTGGCTTAGTAGCAGATGGCATCCAGAAACCCTGCTCTGAGTTCCAAGAGGTGGCCCCCAGCAGCAGTCTGGACGCGCGAGTAGCCCTGGGACACATTTCTGCCTAGGCTAAGTGCCCCAGAAATGACTGCTTCATCTGTGATGGGCTTGGCTGGTCCAGGAGGGCACAGTGGCCCTCTGGGTTCAGGAATCCACATGTCCTTAGGGATGGGTGCTCCATCCCTGTGAGCTCAGCGTTGGTGGTGGGAGAGTGGGGTGGGGCTCAGGGCAGGCTGTCAGGTGCTGGGGGTGTAGTTTCCTGCTTTGAGCACTGCACCTGCCAGACAGACTACCAAGGACACCTGAGTTCGGTGCACAGAGAAGATCTGGGGTGCATGGTCCTCCAGCAGTGGGGGCCAGTGCTGCTCAGCGTACCCTGCTTTCTCCAACCCTTAGCCCTACGGCCAGCCATGCCCCACTCCACGTTTAATGGAGGCACCACATACTGTGTCTGTAGTGCTTTACGCCTCAGTCTTTTGTCGCCTCTCACCCACCCAGTTTGTGGTGCATGTCACTGCTGCCCTCGGAATCTAAGGCACACACTCGCTGTGTGTCCTGCATAGTAAGATGCCACCGACGATGCCATGATAAGAGGCAGATGGCATCACTGCCCAAATGATGTTTATCACTGGGAACACGGGACATACATGAGCAGCAAAATGTCAGGTGGTGACAAGTGCCACCGAGAGGTGCACAGCCTGGCTAGGGCTGGGGCACGCACATGTCTAGTGTGAATTGCGCATGTGTGTTCACGTGTAGAATGTGGGTGTATGTGCGTGTGTGCACGTGTGAGGCGGGGGATGAGCGGCAGAGAACAGAGATCCTCAACCCTCCCCCGCCAGTTTCCAAGCCCCAGCACAGCCCCTCCTTTCCTACCTGACCCTGGATTCATGTTCAGGCCACAACCTGGGCTGCGGGGAGACATCCATGGGGAAGGCACATACTGTAGGGCGGTGCCCCTGAGTAGCACCAGGGTGGCGGGAGAAGGTCGTAGGAGCTCCACCTTTAGGGGCTGCAAGCCAGTGGTGGTCAGAGCCCCAAGGATGACCTTCATGGTTCCCAGCCGCCTCCTGTTCCCCTGCCCATCGCAGGTCCCCCTGGAGCTGTATTAACAACCTGCTCCCTACACGTGGGCCTCTTCTGTGTGGAATTTCCTTTCCAGCCCTGTCCCCTGGCTCATTTATCCCCATTGCTCCATCCCAAGGACTCCGCTTCCTCCTGCAGCTTTCCCGGAATGGCCCAGGCTGGAGTTGGCCTCCCTCCTGACAGTGACCGACCCCTAGAATAGAGCTTGGTGCCAAGTGGATGCCCAGCAAATATTTGTCGAATGGGAGGATAGATGGTTGGGTGGATGAGTGGATGGGTGGATGAAACGCTTGGCTCTGCCCAGCTCCCCTCCCATTTGTCTACAGGGTCACTGAGATCACTCTGTCTGCCATGCCCCAGGGCCTGATGACTGCGCCTGTGAACCTGGCATGCCCCAGTCCTGGCAGCTGGAGGGCTGATGCATGCAAAGTGGGCATCTCCTTGTCCAGCCGCCTGACCACCCTGGCATGGCTGAATCTGAAAGCTAATGACATTATTGTGTGGAGACACAATGTCTGTGCACATTTGCTGACCCAGGTTTTGCTGTGGGCTTAATCCAGCATTCTCACCCCGCTTTCCACAGGGATGCAGTGCTCACCCATCTTGGCAGCGGCACTCCTGGAGAAGGTATAAATGCCACCTCCCGGTGGCCGGGCTTCACGGGTACTCACAGGGGCTGGTATCGCTGGTAAGAATGTCTCTCTTGTTTGTCTGGCCTTTTTCTGTCGTCTTCATGCCTGTTGGAAAGTGGGGAGAACCCAGATTTGAGTGCAGGTGCCTCTGATTTCTGACAAGGTGACCTTGGGCAGAGACTTCCATGATCTCGGCCTCAGTTTTCTTTTCTGTTAAATGGGGAGAGGGAGCATGAGACTTCCTCTGTCATAGGGATGAGGGAGAGGACAGGTGAGCAGTGCAGCATGGTGCCTGGCACAGAGCAGGCACTCAGAAGAGGCTCCATTAACAACAAACGTTATCAGCATCTTTGTTTCACCAGAAGCTGGACAGGAAAGTGTAACTGGGGTTTGCAAACCAAGAACAGTTTAGCATTGGTCTTTTCCAGGTGAACAAGCCAGCTTTCTCCACAGGTACTGTGCTTTCCTGGTATACCTCTGGTCCAGGCTAGGAAGTCAAAGCTCTCTAGGTGCTGTCATAACACATGATTTTGATGCCACTAACTTGGTTGACAGGATCTTAAGAACACCATCTCTGCTGTCCCTGGCTGGTTCTGAATATATTTTACATAATTGCATTCTTGCAACCTATTCACACATATAGTCAGGCACCATTGCTGCCCCATTTTACAGGACAGGAAAATGAGGCAGTAGGAAAGAATGTGACCTGCCTGAGGGCTCTATGCTGTTAATGGTGGAGTCAACAACTGAGCTGGGCTGCTGAGCTTCCTTGTCTTTAGTGTGAGGATACAGTACTGGGGAGTCCAATGCGGGGACCTCGGGCCCCATGACAGGCGCTGAGGGCTGGTTCCTTGGCAGACAGAGGGGCAGATTTTGCTCCTAACCTGCTTACATGATTTTCTTCCTTGGGAAAGATGGCCCAGCCCAGCTTTTTGCAGGAAGGGGTTTTGGCCACTGGGTACTCTCTCTGAAAACCAAGGGTGGGTGTCCTTGCTGACAGCCAGGAGGCCGCAGCTGGGATGCCAGCCCTTCCCAGAGGAAGGGGAAGAGGCTTACGGTTTACCAGACTTTTCCACCAGCCCCAGGGCTCCAGCTTCCACTATCGTACCGTACCAGTCTCACCACGCTCACACGGTGCAGTCAGGACTCACAGCGAGAGGAGCCGTCTGGGTACCGAGAGGTGGAGAGGCACCTCCAGGAGCAGGTGGAGGCTGGGGCGGGGTAGAGGGACTTCTAGTTCCCAAACTGGGAGCCACAGTGGCCCCTGACATAGCCAGCGCTTTTTCAAAGCAGGGTCAGTGTGGCATCTGCAGCCCGCAGCAGAGTGCTGGGCCAGCTCCGGACCCCATCTCAAGTTCTGGTTTGTCACCACTCTCTTAGGGGACCTCATTTTCCCCTCCACCCAGGCTGGCCTGGACACAGAAATAGAGGTGACGTGCCAGGCAGTTGTGCAGATGACCTGCAGTCAGGGGGACAGCACAGGGCCGGGCCCGGAAGGGGTGGTCCTGAGGTTCCAGGGGAAGAAGCCGAGGGCCAGCGAGGTCCTCAGGGAGGCTTTCTGTGTCTTTCAGGTCACTCCTGTGCGGGACAGTCCACCATGGCCTCAGACCACCAGACCCAGGCGGGCAAGCAGCAGCCCCTCAACCCCAAGGTGGGTACCAGCCAGGTGGGACAAATGAGCCTGCTTTTCCAAACTCGAGTTCCCTTCTGAAAGAGTGCGTGGCTTTTGCCTTCCCTTCACAGCCCTGCTCGTCTTCAGGTCTGCACACTGAGGGCTGACTCGCAAGGTCCCTTCCAGGCCTGGGGCAGGCCGGGCTCCCAGCACAGCTTCCAGCTTTGGGGTTTACTTTCTTGCCTTGCGGGTACCTCACACCCTGGTGCCTAGGAGGTTCCTGGAGGCTGGGTGGACCCTGCGCCCCATCGGAGATGCAGCCCTTGAGGTTCCCTGCTAGCTCGTGCTGTGTCATCTTGCACAGTTATCTGATACCACGGAGCCTCTATTCCCTCTTTAAAATGAGAACCAGATTTACACACAGGTGGTTGTGGAGAGGCACAGCACCAGGCTTATCCTGACACACACGCATGTCCACCTGGCCCGAGCCAGATTCCCATCACACAATCTGCTCTCCACACCTCTTTAACAACTTCCCACCTGGGCCTGCCATGGATTCTTCTGGCACTGCCCTCTGTCTGTTCAGTTCCTCCCTAGCCAGGCAGGCCCAGCTAATGCAGCCTCAGCCTGTCCTTTCTGAACCCTGCTTTCTAGAGGACCAGCGATACACAAGCACATGAGCATAGGACTTGAAGTACTGAGAAGCACTGCAGAGGGACACGGGGTGAGGGGTTCTGGAGAGCCGGCAGACTGGGTAAGCTCAGATGGTCAGGGAGGGCCTCTCAGAGGTGGAGATGTCTGGGCAGAGATCTGGGTCAAGCAAGGGAATGGCCATGTGAAAATTGGATTAGGGGTTGCTATGAACATCTGGGCAGCAGGAGCAGCCTGTGCAAAGGCCCTGAGGTTGCATGAGTGAGCAGAAGAATGGCAAGAAGGCCAGGTTTGAAGCAGCACTGTCCAACAGATTCACAACATGGACTACACATGTAATTTCAAATGTCCTAGTTGCTACAGTTTAAAAAGTAAAAACCAGTTGTCATGGTGGTGGCACAAGCCTATAATTCTAGGAGTCTAAGAGGCTGAGGCAGGAAGATCCTAAATTTGAGTTTAGCCTGGGAAATCTGGTGACTTACTGAGACCAAAAGCCTGTCTAAAAATTTTTAAAAAACAACCAAACAAACAAAAAAAAATATCAGAGGATACAGCTCAATGTGAAGGCTCTGGGTTAAATCCCTAGTAACACACACACACACACACACACACACACACACACACACACACAGAAAGGGAGAGAGAGAGAGAGAGAGAGAGAGAGACAGAGACAGAGACAGATAGAGAGAGAGAAAGATACACAGAAACAGGTGACGTTGAAGTTAGTTTTTATTTTATTTGAACCCCAGATATCCCAAATATTAGCATTTTAATTTAGGGAGCTCTTTTACATCATTTTCCCACAGAGATCTGCAAAACCAGATGTGTATTTTGCACAGCACATCTTAGCCCAGGTAGCCTGCACCTGTCCGATAGCTCTATGTCCCTAGAGGCTGCTGTATGGACAGGGAAGCTGTAAAGGGTCAGGTAACGTGGACACCGTTCGTCCCATCACGCTGATGAAGATTAACACTAGCGCCAGGTCCCTGATGCTCTGCGCTTCTCAGATTCTGTGTGCAGACCCTGACCTTCCTCCCTGGCCCCACCTCTCACCTAGCCTTCTCTCACACCCTGTCCACTTCTGAATCCTTCTTGGGCCACTGCAGAACAGGCATTTTACAGACAAGAGGACCGAGGCTCGGAGCAACCCAGCTGCTTCTCAGGGTGGCCCAGCAAGCGCAGCATGGGAGCATGTCTCTGGCCCCATCGCTGGCCAGGTCAATGACCGCAAAGGCTATGCTGAGCCCATGGAATTTGTCTCTGAGCCCTACTGCCCTGCCCCTTCCTTTATGTGGCTAATCCCCGGGCTGGGCGGGAGGGTGCTTACGCAGCCACTGCTGACCCTGTGGATTCTGCAGCTGCCCGGAGCCCTCCTCCCCTGAGGCAGCCCCTGCGGAAAGGTGGCCTGGAAACCCCACTCCCTGTTCCCACTAAAACCATGAAAGGTGACTCCACCCCCCAGTCGGTGCGTGGCTGTGAGACCTCAGGCAGGTAGGTCCCTTCACTCTGCAGAGGTTCAGGTTCTCTGACGAGCCCCGCCTGAACCAAGACCAGGTGAGTCAAGGAGCATGATGCCCTTGAGAAGCACCTCGAAGGGTCAGCTGTAGGGAGACCAAGACACCCCACACGGTGGAGGCGTGCGGAAAGGGTGCAGGTATGTGCAGAGTAGCTTTACAGGGGAATGGAGGGGAAGGGCAAGCGCACAGGCCGAACTCTGAGGGGACCAGAAACAGCACCTGTGCCTCCGGAGGTGGCCCGTGCATGAGCGGTGCTGGTGTCTCCCAGGAGCTGGCTGAAATACAAAATGTGGCGCTGCACCCCAGAGCCAGCCTCGTGTTAGCACCTCTTCAGGTTACTTGCAACCTTTAAGTTGCAAGACGCTGCTTCAGTTTCAGCTGCAGCAGAGAACTCTGGGCTCCAGGCTCTACCTCTCTACTCCATGCTTATTAATAAATATAATCTTGAAGGACTGAGGACAGAGCACAGTGACAGCGTGCCTGCCTGACGTGCAAGAGGCTCTGGGTTCCATTCCCAGTACTGCAAAAGAAGATCGTAATTATGTCTCCTACCTGCAAAGCAAACACCATGACTAACCATTATGCTTCCCAAATGCTTAAACAATCCCATTAGGTCAGTTGTTACCCATTTCACAGAAGGGAAGACTGAGGGGAAAAGGAGAAAGGAGCAATTTCAGGGACAAGATCTCATAGCTGGTGACTCACAGAGCCAAGACTATGACTTTAGGTTTGGTACGACTCGGAGCAGTGCAGCCTCTGGCATCTTGGAGCCTCTGAGCTTGCCACCCCTTCCCTTTCTTCTTGGCAGGGCGGGTCTGACTCTGTTCCCCACCTTCCCCTCCACAGATCATCATCTTTGAGCAGGAGAACTTCCAAGGCCACTCACATGAGCTCAATGGACCCTGCCCCAACCTGAAGGAGACGGGTGTAGAGAAAGCAGGCTCTGTCCTGGTACAGGCTGGACCGTACGTACACAGGGTGTCACCTGCTCGAGGCTGTCTGGGGAGGCCATCAGGCTGCAGGGCTGGGGGAGTCTGCTGTCACGGTGCCCCTAGATGTGTTTCCTAAGCCAGAGGCCAGAAGGTGGGGCCTGGAAGCCCAGGGAGGCCCATGGTGCTGGGTTCAAATTCAGACTGCACCACCTCTGTGCTGTGTGTATCTGGCAGGAACTTCCCTCTCTGAACCTCAGTTTCCTCCTGTAAGACAGATGAGACTGACCGTCCTCCAGAGGCAGAAAGAAGAGTGCTCAGGAGGAAAGCCTGGCACAGAGCGAGCCCCTTCCTATAGGCAGCAGCGACACAGGCCTTTTAAAAACCATCACACTGCAGTTCTGGGGCTGGCCCTGATCTCCTGGGGTCCTGGCTCGGCCTCCACGCCTCTCTCCCCAAGTCCTGAGCCCCTGGATCTGAACAGATTTTCTAAAGTCTGTGCTGTCCCACTAGGGCTGGGTCACTACCTGAGAGGCAGGGGAGGTGACTGATGGAGTCAGTTCTCCCTGTCTTCTGGCCGGGCACAGCCCCGTGAGCCTGCAAGGACACAAAGCCCGTAGTGTGGCCGGGGCCTCTCTCTTGGCCCCTGGCTGTTCCTTCTCTGTAAACACCTTAGAAAATGGGGCCACCAGTGACTCCACCCAAAAGGGTGGACTGGTGTGGTAACCCTGGAGGTGCTGGGGTGATCCACACCACACGTCTCCAGCTCGCTGAGTGTGACAGCCCTGCCCATGCCGGAGCCTGCAAGACACAGGCAAAGGACCCATCCTGCCAAGCCAGCTCGGGGGCGCTCGGGGGACCTGCCGTGCCAGAGCCGGGCCCCTCGGGGTAACTTAACCTTGATCACTGGAGCACCCTATCTGGATTTCAGTTGCCTTTTACCATTTTGATGGAAGATGTTGATGAACATAATTTAATGAAGTACTTTTAGCTTTTGGTTAGTTTGGTTTTTCGTGGTGTTAGAAATTGAACCCAGGCCTTGACCATGCTAGGTATATGCTCTACTGCTGAGGTAAACCCCAGCCTTCCCAAACAGAGTTTGTTCTCCTTTTTCTTTTTAAAAAGATAAATTTTGGATATTTTTTTTGTTTTTGTTTTTGTTTTTGTTTTTGTTTTTGTTTTGGCCATCCTGGAGGTTGAACCCAGAACATTCTCCCTGAGCTTCAGTCCCCAGCCCTTTTTCATTCTGAGACAGGGTCTCGTCAAGTGATTAAGTTTCCCAGGCTGAGTTCAAACTCGGTATCATCCTGCCTCAGCCTCCCAAAATGCTGAGATTAGAGGTATGTGCCACCACAACTCACTTAAATTTTGATGTTAAAAAATAATTACTGTTTATTGCTTAAAGTTAATAAGATCTGATTTAGAACAAAAAAGTTTTCACTCTAAACCTCAGAACTGATCATTGTTAAGAGTTGATCTGAAAAAAATTGAAACTGAATGTAATGTGTAATGTGTAATGTTTGTAATGTTTCATAACTCAGTTCAAGATCTTTACAAGGTAGCCTGCCTTTCATTGACTGGCATTTCAGGGCGGTGTTTTCCAGAGTGGCTGGAGGCTGATGTGCCTCAGAACCTCGGGAGGGAGATGATTCAAATGCAGATGCCGGCTCCGCTCCAGCCTCCCTAAATCACACTCTTGGGTTTGGAGCCCAGGAATCTGCATGAAACCAGTTTGCCTGTTGCTATTTTTACTCAGTTAGAATTGAGAACCTGTGTCTTAAACTGCTATTTATCAAGGCTTTGGAGCACTCTGTGACTGCCCATGCCGGGTTTATCTCATCTCCCCTGACCATCAGGCATCTAAGTTGTCTGTCTTACTTGGTATGTTAAACACCGCAACGACGGACAACCTTATGTAGCCATCTTGGAACCCTTGACAATGCTCTCCAGGACACACTGTCTGAGGCAGGGCTGTGGATCCAGAGCACGGTCTCTGCTAAAAGAGGACAGTGACTGGAACTGCCTCTTCCATTCGTGACTTAGATTGCAGTTCTGGGTTGCTGTCCCACAGGGAGGGCCGACTGTGCTCCTCCCTCTCCAGCTCTGCTCTGGGCAATGTCACATAGACAGCTGCAGCAGGAGCACTGATGCCATGGAAGCTGGCAGGTGCTGCACATCAGGGTTGCTGGCTTTCTGTTTTTTGTTTTGAGTGCAGGTTGTTAATTTGGCAGCATTCTGTTGCTCTTCGGACATGAGGGGCATTTGCCGCCGGGCAGTCTTCTGGACGCCCCCCTTATTTCAGCCAGTGTGCTGGCTGCACAGCCCTAAATTCTGGGGACCTGAGATGACCCTGCACTTGGACTCCTTGTGTGAGACTTTAGAGGGAGCTGCTGCTCCCTGGCGGATGGGCAGGGTGAGGTCAGGGTGGGACTGATCCGCTCCCCTGTCCTCTGTCCCTGTTGCAGCTGGGTGGGCTATGAACAGGCCAACTGCAAGGGCGAGCAGTTTGTGTTTGAGAAGGGGGAGTACCCTCGCTGGGACTCCTGGACCAGCAGCCGGAGGACCGACTCGCTCAGCTCCCTGAGGCCCATCAAAGTGGTGAGTCTCAGGCCCGTCACCCTCCTCTCCGTCTGCCTCCTTGGAGGCTTAGCCCCTGGTGTGCCCCTACTGACCGGCTAGAAGCCTCTTTAACTGAGGGACCTTCCCTCCTTTGGCTGCAGTTTCCTCATCTGTGAAATGGGGTTATTACACCCACTCCTGAAACTCCAGCACGCTCAGCCTACGGGCTGCACCTTGGATCACTCAAGGGCTCCATGCACGCGACTGCAGTGTGCTTGCTGGGGTTGTATACTCCTATCAGCCAGCAATTGCTCAATAAATGAGAGTCATCATCAATATTAAGAATGTTTTGAGGTTAGGAATGAGGAAGGTGGTTTGGCTCTTACTCAAAACCCACGACAGTGTGAGCTGCTAGCACTTCTCTGTTCCCAGTTCTATCTCTGTTCCTGTTTCTCACCATCATGCGAATCCTAGGGGAGAGGACAGGTCATTGCAGTCTTCAAATATTCTACTCCCAAACCTTCCAAGCCCAGACCAGTTCCTCCCAGATGGAAGGACCTACTGCTGATGGAAGACTAGAGAAGTTTGGGCTCAGCTTCCCACAGACCTGGGTTCAGATGTTGGCGCTGCTATCCCCAGCTGTGTGACCCTGGGCCAGTAACTTCACCTCTCTGAGCCTCCATCACCTCATCTGCCAATAGCTTAAAAGTTGTTTAAAGGACTAAAGGAGATACATAAGAACTACGTCAGGAGGATGGGAAAAGCTAAAGAGATGATATAGCCCTGGTACAGAGGGGTGGTGAGACTGTGTGTGTGTCCAGGTAAGCAGGTGGATAGATCACAGCTGCCATTGTGGAAACAGAAGTCGAGGCTGAGGGAGAGAAATGACATCTCGGAACCAAATATTCCCGACGCGTAGGACAGGGAGGGTCTGTTACATGGAAACAGAAGTCTGCAAGTGGCATGTCCCAGACACCCAGGAGTGCTGGGTAGGGCGAGGATCATGGCAGAGAATGAGGTGGGGCCCCTCCCGCACATTCATGCACCCCCGCGGTGTCAACAGGACAGCCAGGAGCACAAGATCATCCTCTATGAGAACCCCAACTTCACGGGGAAGAAGATGGAGATCATCGATGACGACGTGCCCAGCTTCCACGCCCACGGCTACCAGGAGAAGGTGTCGTCAGTGCGTGTGCAGAGCGGCACGTAAGTACACTGGGGTTTGGGGGCCCGAGTCCTCCTCAGCCCGGAGCTCACTAGTGACCATGTCACTGTCCTCTGAGACCTCAGACTTCCCGCTGGAGAATGGGCACAAATCATCAGCTGCTTGTGGCTTTCAGAGGTTGCACCCAGGACTCCAAGTGGACAGCCCTCTGCCTCCGGACAGAGAGAGCTCAGCTGCAGCCTCAGCCCTGAGGGGCAGAGAGTGTAGGGTCAGGGTTAGGGTCAGGTGGGTCAAGGCGGAAAGGTGGGAATGAGCTGATGCTCTTCACGCAGCTGTGGTGGCAGGGAGTCCTGCGTACGCCGGGCTCCTCTCGAATGTGCTCCTGACTCTGCAGACAGGAGCCCCTTTCCACCGAATAGAAGGCCTTTGACAGACAAACCCTGGCTGTGAGCATTGAGGGGTTGCTCCCTATAAAATATGCGGATTCTATCACGGCTGGCTGCAGGGCTTCTGGCGGACGTCCTGGGGTGGGACATACAGTCAGCACTCAGTATCTGAGGATCCAACTAACCTCGAGTGGAAAATTCACGCAGAAAGTATCGATCACACCAGCACTCAACACCTGCACTTTGCTCCTCTTGTCATTGTTCCCCAAATGACACTGCAATACATAGCATTTGTATCGCATCAGGTGTTACAAATCACCCGGGATGGTTTACAGCACACAGGAGGATGCGCCTGGGTTTTTTCCAAGAACTATACCATTTTATATAAGAGACTTGAGCATCCACAGATTCAGATGTCTCTGGGGGTCTTGGGACCAAAACTCTGGACCTTGGGACAATGGACCGGCTCGTAATAGTCAAATCCTAAATTTCCAGAAACTTTGTAGATTCTGGCTCATTAATCATTGGAACTTAAAATCAACCATACTAAGCAAACTTATACCAAGGAGTTGGTGAGTGCTACAAATCAGGGCTTTCCCCCCTCTAGACAGCCGGGTTAACAACACACACTGGCTGCCTGGGTCTTGTCAAGCTCTGTAATTACGTGCAAATTTCTGTGTCCATTCACGCATTCATCCCTTTATTGATTTCATTTGTCAAAAGCTGTCATGTGCCTTGCACTGTGTCAGGCACTCAGAATGTGAAGATAGAAGTGGGGGACCTTTGTGTCTGCCTAACACTTTAGAAGGAGCAACTGTCAGCAATTTAAGAATCCATACAAATCTAAGCTACATTCTCAAGGAGCAGACTCAAGCTGATACATCAAGGCATAGTAGGCACTGTTCAATAAGAAAATGAGAAAAATGTCCTAGAAAAAGACAGTGGAATGTGCAAAGGCCCTGTGGTGGTAATCCTTTAAGGACTCCACAGAGGCTATAGTGGCTGCAGTGCAGAAATGTGGGCCCATAGGACTGAGAAGCAGTGGTGGATGTGCTCACAGAGCCTGGCTGGGCAGATTATAATGTTCACCAAGTGCTGAAAAGATTCAATGGTCCCACTCATGGTAAATGCCCTGAATGGTGGGATGGTGGGTAGGTTACAGAGGTTTCCTGGAATCTTCTCCATTCTCCCTCGGCCTTGGGTCTTGGCCTGGGTCCCCTTAGCATCCATGAGCTCATGCTCTCTCCTTGCTGCAGTCCTGGTACCAGGCCTTTGGTCAAAATTTGCATTGGAAGTTAGCGAGCCCCCCACCTCACCCCCAAGAGAAGGAAGCAGGCAGCAGCTCCATGCTGGAAGGGGGGTGGGTGGGAAGAGGTGTCCTGCTCAGCACTGAGAGAGGACGGCTCTGTCCTTCCTGATGGCTGAAGGGTTCTCCCGCCCTGCCTCTGCCCTGCAGGTGGGTCGGCTACCAGTACCCCGGCTACCGTGGACTGCAGTACCTGCTGGAGAAAGGGGACTACAAGGACAGCAGCGACTTTGGGGCCCCCCACCCACAGGTGCAGTCTGTGCGTCGCATCCGAGACATGCAGTGGCACCAGCGAGGTGCCTTCCACCCCTCCAGCTAGTGCCCCAGCCCCGTTCCACCTGCCCAGAAGCCAGGGCTGCTGTCCGGGATCCCGCCAGGCCCCCAGTGAGTGAATAAAGTGTGTCTTGCAACGTGTCTGCTGCTAGTCTTTATCCACTGTGGCCGTGTGTGCGTATGTGTGTGTGCGTGTATGTGTGTGTGTGTGTGTGTGTGTTTGAGGGAGACGAGGAGGAGGGAAAAAAGGAGTATCGATCACCAAGAGGGGAGTCTGCACCTGCGGCTCTGCAGCTCCTCAGCTATGTGACCTTGAGCACGCTGTGCAGCCTCCCTGAGCCTGTTTCTTCACCTTACAACTGACTGCCTCGCCTCCTAAGTGCCTGGCTCCGTTCATCTCCGGTGCTCACACTCAGGGGCACAACACAGCGGCCTCCGCCCTTAAAACCAGCCCTCTGCTTGCCGTTCTTGTGTCACTGCTTCCACGGTGATGGAGGGTGTGTGTGTTTTGTGCTTTTGTGGTGCGTCTCCCAGGACAGTCAGGCGCCCTGCGATCCCCACCCCGCCCTGGAGAGGCTGCAGCTACACGTTTGCTCGCCTGCATCCGCTGATCCCTGCCTGCACTGTCCCATTGGTGTGATGTGAGTGTGGCCAGGGGCAAGGTGGCCATGTGGCCGCCTGCAGGAACAAGGCATGGTCTACACGTCCCCTGGGCTGGGTGCTGAGCTTTCCTGCCACCGTGGCCCATGGTGGGGTGGCAGGCACTCATTTATCAGCTTTGTTGTTGTCCCCCCACCCAAAGCATGAAAACCTTGCCTCCCCAGCAGGGTGGCTTGGGGATGAGGAACTCTGAGGCTCTAGGGACTCAGTTTTCAATGTTTTGTGAGACAGGGTCTCGCTATGCAGCTCAGGCTGGCCTTGAACTCACTACGTGGCCCAGGCTGGCCTTGAACCCGCAGCCATCCTCCTGCCTCAGCGTCCTGCGTGCCGGGACCGCAGGTGTGTGCCACCACACCAGTCAAGAGACTCATTTCTTTTTGGTTATAAATGATATACAATCTCCTGCCAGCAGCTAGCTTCTCCTCAGTTCCTTCCTGGTATCTTTTGAAAAGATTTTAAATTTTCATGTAGTCAAAGATTTTAAATTTTCATGTAGTCAAAGATCAAGCTTTCCCTCCGTGGTTTACGTCTTCCATGTCTTTTTAAATTCTTTCAAACCTCAGATGATGAATATATTCTTTTCTCTAAATATTTAAAAGTTTTGGCCTTCAAGTCTAAGTGCTTATCCTTTCTGGAGATGATTTTTGTGCACGGGGTCCAATTTCTTTTTGGGGAACCCTGCCCATTTTGCCACCCCTGTCCTACAGTAGCATATTGAGGAGTCCCCAGCCTCTTCCCCCGGGGTGCGGTTACCCCTGTCACTCCTTAGGGCTCCAAACGTGTGCGAGGCCTCTCTGTATGTTCCCACCATGCATCTTCTCTTACACTGTGTTTGAACTCATTGCTTTATGAGAAGCCTTAAGGTTGCCTAAATCATCAGTCTTCTTCAGAAAGTCTTGGAGGGGCTGGGGATTTAGCTCAGCGGCATAAGCGCCTGCCTTGCAAGCAGGCAGTTGTGAGTTTGATCCCTGGTACCGATAAAAACGAAAAAGACAAAAAAAATAACTGAAAGTTTTGGAAAATTTTGCTCCCCCTCCAGAAGTATCCTCTTGAATTTCTTTTTATTTGTTATTTTATCTTATTTTAAAGAGGATAAAACATAATAAAACCAATCAAAACAAACCAGTGTAAGAGATACAGGACTTCAAAACATTACAAAATTAACAACTTACTATAACACCTCTTGACATCTTCAAAATAGCTGCAGATAACTTCAGGTATAATAAAAATCAAACAGAACTGAACAGAATAGAAACAATAAAAACAAAACAAGAAATGCAATAAGGGGCTTCAAAACAAGCCTATAGCAATCCTGAAATTGCTACCATTATATATCTTGCTGTCTTTGAAATAGCTGCTCCTGCCACTGGATTTAACATAATCAAACAAAAGAGAATAAAGTTTAAGACAACAAAACAATGGAAATGATGTAGGACTTCCAAAATAAGACCATAGGGAGTCAGCAATGGCTACCGCCCTCAGAAGGAGGATCCCTAGATGCCACTCTGTGTACCGCTATCCTCTGAACCTGTGATCAGCCCACTGGCCCTAGACCTGCAGTGTTAGCAAACACCAAAGCACCACAGGCATCCAATTGCATGTCACCTGGTAGCTACGTTTCTCCAGATAAGCGAGTCGCTTACCGGGTGGGGGCGGGGAAGTTGGGACTTCTTGTTTGCCAGCCAGTGTGCTAGAAGGGGCTGGGGTCCGTCTGTTCCCAGTCTGGCGGCAGCCTGCACATGGTGCTAGTGCATATTCTCTTGAATTAATTTTTCCCATGAAAAGAGTACACTCTTTTATTTGTTTTTGTTCACACGTTTTAAGTTTCAACTTTTAATAATAAAACTCGATACATTGACCCCTGAATCATATTTTAAAAAACACTTGCTGTACCCATTATTTCCATGTCAATAAAGTCTAAGGCCGTACAGAACATCACAAGGCTCTGACTCTGCAAGGGGGCTCATGCAGGAGGCGGGCGCTAATTAACATACACTCAAAGGTTATGGATACCCACGTGTATGTGGCACTGTTCATTAATACTAAACATCCGCTCCGTGGGCAGCGTTCTGAAGCCTTTGTCACGACACACAGATTCACATTAAAATCAGCCTTTCAGCTTTACGACAATAACACATTCGTTTGAAGAAGCAAATCACACATAGGACTCGCAATAGCACTCCTGCCCTCCCTTCTCGCTGTCTCCAAGCTGCTGTCCTTAGAGCGGGCTCCACTTGGTCATTTTTCCATTGTGAGGAATGTCAGGAAGCAACAATTTAAAGGTAGCACCTTCAATACGCATAAAGGCATACACTTTTCTTAAAACAGCTGACTCCTATGCGTGCGAAGGGAGCCCGGACAATGGAGCAGTTGTGAAGATTGTGCCAGGAATCACGGGATAAGCAGTGCTGCTCCAAGTACACGACCATAGTGCTAGGCGAGGTCCTGATTTGACTCTGTGTGGCTCAAAACCCTCGGCAACTTAACAATGTCAAACTCCTTTGCTTCAATTGGGTGTATCAAATTTAAGTCATGAAAGCTGTACACGCTTCAGAATTTTTACGAGTGGCGCGTATATCATGTTTACAGGAGGCTTAAACAAAACCTCAAGAGGCCAGGGATCGCAGCACAGGAGGAAAAACTGAGAAACTTTAGATAAAAATTTAGGTATGCTGTAGCCTTGCCCAAAATTTGCAGTAAAGTAAGATTTAAAAAACACAGTTGAGCCAAGAACTACAAAGTACAAAGTAATGTCACTGGACCACAACTTGGTTGTTTTTATTCCTAGTGTATTTTTAAAGTCATAAATGATTTTTAAAATGCAAAGTTGAAACGTTTACTTTTCACTGCTTGAGAGTCTGACCAGTAATTCCAAACCATGCTTTCTAAATCCAGTCTTCAGACTTCTAAAACCTAGTTTGTAAGCTCCGCCATTCCAAATGTTCAGTTTCCGGTAACTGCTGAAGACAGAGGGTTAAGACAGTAACCTGAAAACAGCCCAGCAAACACAGAGAATGGTGACTGCCCCACTACCAAAAGTGAGGGAGAGATGTTTAAAAAACAGAACAGTGCTGATCTTTCACAGAAGAGAACACATGAGATTAACTTGTGTTTTGTAGACTTTGGTAATATTTTATTTCCCGCACGGGCCTCAAACCTATTTAACCTTTTACATGAAGTCACCAGTGGAAATCAATGAATAAAGCCCCCATGTGTCATCCAGAGAGGAATGGGTTACTTGTGAAGGAAAGTGATGTTCTGATGACGTCTTTTAAATGCTTACAGTTAATGGAAATATTTTCAAACTCGCTTTGGAAGCTATACAACATTCCATTCAACAAACAAAAATGGAAAGCAAAACTTTCTCTACTTTTTAAGGAAAAAATTCACTGTTACTTTTAGGATTATGACATACTCATTTTTGACTACCTAATCCAATATTTAAATTTTTTGAACGAAGATCCCAAAAAGAGACATTGTTTGACTGTAGGGAAGTCCCAAGTGAAAATGGATCAATGCGTGAACCTGGGCGTGCCCCACTGCACTCCTTAGACGCGCCCTCAAGTGAAAATAATTTCTATGTAGTAAGTCTGTGTCTCAAACTTAAAAACTAAACTGGTCCCTAGGAAAGACTGAACAAAAACTATTCCCTTGCCCCAAGTCACAACAAAACAGCTCAGATCCAATCTGCTGCTCCCCACAGAAACAGGCAGCAGGGCCTGAAGCTTCAAGTCTGGAATCTCAACCCCTACAACACTGCAAGACACTTTTTGTGTTTCCTAACAAAATTATGAGGAATATGAACTAGATAACACAGGATTTTGTAGGTATTTGTAAACACCAGTCACTTGGGTCTTTTTCTCCCCAAACTTGAAAGTACCACCTGCCCACACGCTGCTCTTAGTCTGCAGAGTGGTGGCGGGCAGAGAAAATGTCCTCATTGATGTCTAGCTGGGAAGGCAAAAAGACACTCTCAGTCCATCGGAGTTTCCAGGGGAGAAAGCCTAATGCGCTGGCACAGGACAAAGCTTCACTATTAAATCACAGTCAGGGAAGTCACTTGAACCAGTCAAACTGTCCGATATGCCCTGGCTGCGCTCTGCCAAGGGAGGGAGCTTGGGGTGTGGACTGTGGACCTCAGCAGTGGAGAGATAACCCTCTCCCAGCTCTCCCTCTCTGTCCCTGCTGTCTGTTCCCACGGGGCAGCCTCTTCAGCCTGCCCAGCCTGGGAGATGGTGGCAGGAACGGGCCAGCTGCACCTGCCTTGACTAGCAATAAATGGAGCTGGGAGCCGGGACTCACAACCCAGCTCGGGTCAGGTGGGAAGGCACCGGAAATGAGCTGATTGTGGAAGTGCTCGGTGCTGCTGGCGCTTGGGCTGCTTGCCTGGAGTTTTGGCCTCATGGCCAGCCACCTGGGCTGCACCCCCATGAGCCTGGGGACAGGGGCGGGACACCTATCCTACCCAAGTCATGCCAGTC